TACTAAGCACCAGACAGTTGTTTGTGCCAATGATAAGCTAGCAGGACCTACAGTGGCAACTGCCGAACTCCTCCGAACATTGACCCTAAATCCTAAACCCTTTGCTATACTGAACTTAGGCCCCTAGAAAATATTATAATTTTAGCTGCTTCTTAGGGTTTATAGTAGCCAAAGATTAAAAATTATTTCTAAGTACCCCTAAGTTTGAACCCTAAACCCCAAACCCAAGTCCAAAAAACCCAAAGCCCCAAACCGCAGTCTCGGCGCCAAGGTTCCTCCGATCTTTGGATTTTTCTTGGGCTGGGGATGGAGCTTACGGTTTAGGGTTTAGGGTTTATAGGGTTTAGAGTTTAGGGTTTAGGGTTTGGGGTTTATAGGGTTTAGGGTTTAGGGTTTATAGGGCTTAAGGGGCTTACAGGGTTTTGCGGGATTAGGAAGGCTTGTGGAAGCCCTGAGAGCGAAAACGTACACCAAGAACTGTAACCCTAAGGGTCCAAGTAGTCCTTATTTATGGCTTTAGGTACCCAAAAAGGGCCCAAAGTCCTTAAATAATGGGCACTTGGACCCTCAGGGTAATACTCCACATCCTTGAAATCCTATGTCTGCAAAGCCCTGAAAGCATAAGGCCTGAAGCACCCAAACCCTAAAGCAAAGCCAAAACCCCCAAGCCCTGAAAGCCCAGACCCTGCAAACATTCAGATTCAAACCGTTGCTCAGCTTTCCCAGTATCCCGGCAATCATACGTGAGGGTATATTGCAGTGTCCTCCAGCTTTAGCGAAGAAACCGCAAACGGCATAAAGGGTAGCATCGCCGACCCTAGTTGATAACACCTTGGTCACTAGATGAGAAGCCTCGGTAGAACCGAGTTGAGGCCGAAATGAAAGCCCATGAAAAACTGCATAAGGGTTTAGGGATTAGGGTTTAGGATTTAGGGGCAAACACCCACTACAAAGCCCCATTTGTCATCTCTTCTCGGAGCTCCTCTTCGTTCAGCTCCCGCAACGGCTCCCCGGCATGGACCTCCCAGCAAAGAAAGCCCTGGCTTAGTGGCGCCCCGACGGCTCCGAACGCATCAATGCAGGGCCCTTCAAGAACTGTAGGTTGGGGATTTGAAGAAGGCCCTCCCTCTAACAAAGGATTCTGAGACAAAGGGGCTTGAAGAAAGGGCGGTTAATCATGAAGTGTCAATCATACTAGCCCAAGACTCCTGCAGACTTGAACACCCAGCTTTCAAATCCTGTGCCCATACACCGAAATCCTACACTTCATCACTCACATGCCACAGAAAGACTGCAACTTCAGCAGGGCTCAAAACCTTTTATTCAATTCAGCACAGCGGATTCAGACAGACAAACAGACGGACAGACAAACAGACAGACAGACAAACAGACAGACAGACAGACAGACAGACAGACAGAATGAACGTAAGTAGTTCCATAGCAAATAGAGAACGACAAGCACATTAATTACAGTAAACAACTGAATGGAATAGCATAACATATGATAAAGTAGTAAGACAAAACAAAATAAAACACACATAGTGAAACAATGCAACAGATCAAAATACATGAATACAGAAATACGTAAAAGATAAACAAACACATATATATATATATATACATACACATACTCATAATTATGTTTATGCCCTGATGTGTCATGCGACTTCAGAAACCAAAGCTCAAAGGGTGGGGCCCAGAAAGCCCCTAAACCCTAAACCCGAAACCCTAAAGCCTAAACCCTAAACCCTAAAACCCTAAACCTAAACCCTGAACCCCTAAACCCTGAAACCCCATCTGAGCCCGACGATTCGGCCTCCAGTTTGGGCTCTCCAAACCTGCGGCCAAGTCTTTGCGGCCCAGAGCTCGAAAGAGGGGTTCACAACTTCAGGGTTGGTGGCTTTAGGGATTTAGTTTAGGGGTTTAGGGTTTAGGGTTTTAGGGTTTAGAGTCTAGGTAGGATTTAGGGTCGAGGGTGGAGGGGGTATAAGGTTTAGGGGTTCGCAGTTCGGAGGAGGAGTGGACGGAGAGCCAGAACTTAGTAAAGACAGAGAGATAGAGCAGAGACAAATTAACGATCGGTGGATGGATAGATACAGATTTGTAGGAAGGCAGTCTCAAGGTAGGCAAGCAGGCAAGCGCGGACAAGCGGCTGCCTGGACAGCGGATGCGAGTAAGGTGGCCGACTGGAAGCTTGGAGCGCTTGATTGAAGATTCTTGCTTGCAAGGTCCAGGAAAGAGTTTAGAGTTTAGGATTAATCTGTGATTGGCCACAGGTATCCTCTGCCGATTGGATTCTGCAGGAAGGCAGTGTTTCCCCACCGGGCCTGACTTCCAGCACATTGCCTGCAGCGGGAACTTGCCAGTACCTGTGAGTCTGAAGGTTTCGTGTCGCAAAGAGAACCGGAGACGGTTTAGGGTTTAGGGTTTAGGGTTTAGGGTCAACTTCTGCGACTCTCACCGGAAAGTTGCCGGTCTTCAACACTTGCATAACTAGATGACCTGCAACCCTTGCGGCAAATCATCGAACCTGCCAGTACTTGGGACAAAGGGCCTACGGCCTGCACCCCAAGCTGCCCATATTGAGAACTCGGGGACTCGTATTGGGACCTCGTCACATTCTGAGAGTTTCACTCAAAAGAAGCTTAAATCTAGGCGTCTGGATACTTCGTCATGCTATCCCCTTCTAGGCCCTATGTAGTTATTTTACGCGACACACCCGCAAAACCCTCTTGTGCGTATGAAGGCCCCTATGTTTGATACTAGACCCTAAACCCAAACCCCTATAGACCCTAGACCCTAAACCCTAAACCCTAAACCCTATAGACCCTAATCCCTAAACGCTATAGACCCTAAACCCTGAACCCTGTAGACCCTAAACCCTAAACCCTATAGACCCTGCGCTTCGGTGGTGGGCGCGGTATCCTCGGGCACTCCATGACCAACCTGTGCAGCCAACGCAAAAGCCGAAATTCTACGGTGTGGGGTTTCGGGTTTGGGGTTT